GTTAATAAAGCCTCAAATAAAAGCCAGTAGTCTTAATAACAACAACTGAAGGCTGGTTGCTAATAAAATAGAGGTAAAATCATTAAGGGGGATGTATTTACCTGTACTATAATGGCTCACAGGGTAGATGATCCCTATTGTTCATTTCCACAGCATTAACTCCACCAGTACAACCATCCATCTTCAGCTACTGTTGGAGAAGAACATGACTTGGAGAATAAACACCTTCCGATTGTTACCTTAGTATGTTATTACTATGGTATTACTATGTTGCAGGGGAGGTATATGTGCCTCTGTGGGTGAAGAAGGGATGTCTGAAGTTCCCTAAAGAGAAGGACACCCCTGTGATCTTGGTTGGACCTGGAACAGGTGTGGCACCGTTCAGGGCAGCTTTACAAGAGAGGCTTGCTGAAGGGAAAACTGGTGAGACCTTTACCAGTCTGCCCATGTCTTCTGGTCTCTAAATGTATTTCTTCATTCCACAACCTGCCACATTCTTGTCTTCCTGCCCTTTAGCCAACATCCTATTCTTTGGCTGTCGCTCAGAGTCCAAAGACTTCTACTTCAGGTCAGAGTGGGAGGAGATGATAAAGGCTGGATACCTGACTCTCTTCACCGCCTTCTCACGAGACCAGGTCTCACTCTCACTCACTCACACACACACACACACACACAGTATGCATGGTAACAATCACAGGAAGGGTCAGAAACATCCATTCACACTGTGTACAGTACATAGACAAACACCGATACATAACATTAACAGGACTAAGCTATGCTAGCTCAACGAGGCTAAAGAAGATACAGCAAAGTACTGGACAATTTGACCTGATGATGGCTCTAGAATAGGTGACTGTCAAGATAAACAAAGACCATTTCATTATTGTTTTGAACACTGTAGACTGTGCTGCATTATTCAGAGAGCTGTTTGTTATTTTCCTTATCTTCATTGATGTAAACAGGATGGACAAAATAATAGAACCACCTGTCAGTACAGTTCAACAGCCGCACAAACTACAGCTTCCTAACTGATCACACAGTTGAGCCAGCATTTCTGAAACCAACTGAACATTATCACCTTCCTGAAGGTGGATTTCTTGTAGGATTGTTTTAGCTACAGCAGGTGCACCTATTATAAAGTGCCAGCTAAATGTGTATTTCTGTGTGCTGCTTTCAGCCCAATGATGCCTCCAAGTAGCATGCACTGTCTCTGTTCTTGATACTGCCAGTGGGAGATGCCAACATCAGAGGCTAAAAGCTCTAATTACTGATACATTAAAATCAGTATATCCACAACTTTGCTGGCTTCAATTAAAGCATCGGTTGATGAATAAGTTAAGTGCTGTCCAGGGCTGCTGCACCAGATTCATTCACAAAAGTGATTATCTTGCTAAACTAACTTCTAATATCCATATATACATAACAAGTGTTGTTAATCTGTTAACTGGGCACACTGCACTCAAAATACATCAAGCACAAATTAACCAGAGGCTCTAATGCTCTAGTCCTTCTGCCTTTTTGCCTCTAAAACAGAGTTTCTAGACATCTTTTACACTTCAGAGACATGATTTCAATCTAAAGCAGCTATAGTGTCAGACTGGACAGTTTGAGCCATAGGGAAACAACTTAATGAACTTGCACACCAGTGACAAGGAACTAAATCAGAGTTGAACGAACAGTCATCTTGACAGTGCAACATATTTGACTTGTGAGTAACAGCTACCATAACATTAGCCTATGCTGATATTTATCAGTAAGCACTGTTACACATGCAATAAACATTAACAGGCATACTGAGCATTCACCACTAATATTACATTTTCTGCTCAAAGACAGAATCCTTTCGTCACCACTAATATTACATTTTCTGCTCAGAGTAAAGACAGAATCCTTTCAACTTTTCCTACAAAGGATTCACTGCTAACAATTCATCTAGTTACCTGCCCCAACCATCACATCTGTTCAGTGAAACTGATTGAATGTTTGTTTTTGTTCAGGAGGACAAGGTGTACGTGCAGCATCGTGTGAGGGAGAACACTGGGCTCCTATGGGACCTGATTACCAATAAAAGTGCCTGCTGTTACATTGCTGGGTGAGTCCAATCAGGGTGTGGTTAGCCTAGCCTAGCATAGCATAAAGATCGGAAGCAGGGGGCAAACACTTACCTTTGCTCTGTCCAAAATCCATGATGATACCAAACCTGACAAGCTCACTGTGATGACAAGAAGCTTACACACTCAGTGCACCCAGCTGTTGTTGACCAACAAATAGGTCTAGCACAAAACTCCTTCTAAAACTGTAAAAACAATGATGATCACTTTTTATAGCCCAAGCATGTTACACACACAAGGAATTTGTCTCCAGCACAGAACCGAGGTGGCCACACACACACACACACACACACCATTGGTGGTGCTGTCCCTGCAAGGTGATTCTCTAGCCAAAGGGAGCAACTTGGGTTTCAGTGTTTTCATCAGTGTGCACAGAAGACAGATACACAACACCCTGTCTGCCTAGCCAGAAACTCAACTACATAACTCAACCCGCCTTCATGAGGTACTTACACACTGAACTCCTGCTGGCTCAAGAGAAGTGACCAGTAAAACTGGTAACCACCTCGAAACCACAGATATGGTTCCAAGCAAATTCAAGAACAGGGGACAGGGAAGCTCTAAGTGCTGTACTCCAACACTACAAACCCCATCCTCACTGAAACCCATAAGGGTCAATGCTGCTAAAACCTACTAGGGAAACTACTCCTCCAAACGATGCACACAGTGAACAGGCACCTTCTAAAGTCCTGTCACAAATCCACAGTTATACACCTGGTGGCAACAAAACATCACATTTAGCACCATCAAGAATAATAATGCTGATATCCAGTCAAACTCCAGTGCATCTCCCTAGAGCAGCACAGACATACCATACAAGGGTAATCATGTGCGAAGATTACACACAAAAGGGAAAATCCCACAACAGATGAAACCAATTGTTTGTAATATAATTGTTTATAAAATAAGCAATACTAACACACACACAAAACCTTCTCAAACAAACCTAATCCCAGGCGAGCCCCGCTTTTTGTACCGAACCTGCTCAAAGGCCACAACAAAGAGGAGGGAGATGCACTAAAAAACCCCAATACAGTATTTGTTAAATTAGATAACAAAAAAGTAAAATGTGTGGACATCAGCAGTGCAAGAAATGTATGAATACATGAGTAAATATAAGATGCGTGTTTAGGTGCAAAACAAAAACAGAAGATTAACTCAAACCTAACACACCCTAGTGCATGATGTGTACAGGCAGTGAACCACAGGCAGGCAAAGTTTTTCTAGGGTTGAGAGCATGGCCAGGTGCTCCCAGTCATCAGCTGGCCACCTCATGGCAAGACTGCTACCTGCAAACAAGAGCACATGGACACGCACACACCAAACATGGCACTAAGATCGATCCATTTCACTCAGGAAAAATGTCATATACGCATATTTCTTAAACCTTCTGACTGTAGACATTACACTATGATCAGGGATGTGCTGGAGTGTGATCACTGAATTATTCAGCTAACCCCGAGCTGAACCTCATCTCTCACAAACATTTCACAATTTTCCACTACTCACTAGACAGAAAATGGGAACATTTTCCGTTGTTTTGTAATTGTTCTATTTACATGCGGATGTTCTGTATCTTACCCAAGCTGAATCATAATATGAATTGTTAATATACAGTTGACTTTGGTTTGTTCCTGTGCAGCAATGCTAAACAGATGCCAGCCAGTGTGAGTGACGCTTTGAAAGAGGTGTTCCAACAGGAGGGAGGCGTGTCTGCAGAGGAAGCTGATGAGATGTTGGCAGCTATGGAGAAAACGGGCAGACTTCAGTATGAGACCTGGTCCTGAACTCATGACCTCAACACACTACTCCACAGTGCTAAGACTCTGTGTTTGTTCTTCCTGTCGCCTGTCTGTACATCACCCACAGTAAAAGTAACAGAGCAGGTGACGCAGGTAGTATCCAATTGTGCAACGTACAATGTGAGACATAACTGTGTCTGATTGTATAAAAAAATGCCTTAAATTATATTAACTACACTAGGCTGTGATTGGTACCAAACTGCAGCTATATAATTCAAACTGGTGTCACACCGGGTTTAAAATGTTCTCAGTATGTAAAACTGTAGCTGCTAAGATTAAAATGAACTCATTACATTTTAAAAGTCACTTTCTGTATGTGTGTGTGTGTGTGAGAGATTTATGACAAAACAGAACATTTAAGTGTGTTGTCTTGGTCAATTTTTGGTACACAGTTTTCAAACTGGAATTTTACCTTAGAATATGAGTCATGTCTTGATTTTAGCATGTTCCTACTCAAAATGAACATTTTCTTTTTGGATTCCTCAAGTCTCTTGTGAAATCGGTTAATCATTTCAATTTATAAAGAAATAAGCTAAAATTCAGGACAATTTAAACTAAAATGCAAAAGATTGTGGTTGCCACACTGCCAATTAGAAAACAGGCAATTCATTACGTCAGTGTTGGTTTTCATTGCAATTTTTGTAATTACACATACAAGAAAATTAAATTTACATGACATTTCTGATCATGCGTAAATGGGTAATCTGATTAAATAATTTCATTCTGTTAGCAACAACAGACAGTATCTGTTCAAAATAACCAAGCATCCATTCAAGGCTTGAGACCATTAACATACACAATGAAAACATTGGTATAAATGTAGTGAAGAAAAAAGGTCATACAGCATTTAGAGAAAACTTAAGATACAACACAGAATGCAGCCAAAGCAGGTATATTTTACTAAACAGCTTTGCAATAAACGTGTTATGTCCAAAAACATATGTCTGAACGTGACAGTTTTAAATTAAACTTTTCTGAAAAACTACTGGATCCACTGGTGGCTCAAGCATTTCATCCTCCTATGGTGACAAGAGTTAAATATATATGCATGTATAAAATGACGACCAGTGTCCATTTGATGAATCGATGCAGGCATAAAACAAATGTTTGCATTTGGCAGAACAAACAGAATATAAAAGTGATATTGTCATACAGTGTGGAATTTGTTTTGTGTGACCCCGTGCACACACTTGAACTGAGAGAAGGGAAACGCTATGCTCTTCAGTTCGCCGTCTCCTTTTTAGCTTTGTTTCCCTGAGGTAAAAGTTCAGTGAGCAGCACTTACTTGCCCATCCACTGCTACAGTCACTAGCGCCCAGTGTCCACTGGATGCAACAGGGTCATTACTCCTGGAGATGAGTCACCAATATTCTAGCTGGATGGGTGACCAGCACATCTTGTGAACAGCTCATGAGCTGAGCTCTTCGCTTCTTCTCTGCTGTCTTCACATCTTTTTTCTGGACAGGTGGTTTTCTCTGAAGGATCACTCTGAATGGATATAAAGGACTAGATTTACAGGACATGAATTTAATATTCAGTGATGCCTTCTGTGTTATTAAATGTATAGCAAAACATATTATGTCAATTCTCTTGTGAAGTCTGTACAGCAGAGGGACGGCTGTGGTTTAGGGCTGCAACTATTCATTACTTTCATCACTGATTAATCTGCCAATTATTTTCTTGACTATTCAAGTTGATTTTTCCTTCAAATGGTGAAAATTGCCCATCCGTTTCCCAGCACTCAAGGGGACATCTTCAAATGTCTTGTTTTGTCTGATCAATAGTCCAATTGTACATTAAGGCCTCGTAGGCCAGAAAAGACAACTCAGCACAGAGCACGACACTGATGCTTGGAGTTAGCAACACACGGTCGAAAGACACACCACGCTGTAGATCACTTCCGTAAAGATCACAAATAGACTGCTAACTTGAGAAACACCATTTCCACCGTAGAAATACTGGGTCTAAAAGGCTGCCCCTCTTCCTGTCACATGGCCTATCTGAGAGCTAGTGTGTGGACTTGGTAGATTTCCTTTGGGAAATTCATTTGTTGTTCCTCGTGGATGATGCGAAGACCTGCTCTGCCCACCAGACTTCGAACTATTTCCAGGTCACGGCAGACGCTGCTGTCTACCTCATCTGGGACCACACCCTCATATGACACGTTGTCCTTGATGATGATGAGGCCATTGGGCTGCAAAGCTTTCTGGCAGCGTTGCAGGAACTCCACAAGGTGTTCATCTGTCAGGTGGCCTGAGGGAAAAAGGAAAGCTGTTTAATGCAAAAAAAGATGAGGTCATACCTTGACTGATCAACTACAAAGCTGACATGACTCTACTGATGCAGCAGCAAGGCACTGACTATGTTTGAATAAGCAATGCAAGGATAACCAGGACTTGGGCTCAGCCCTCAGGCTAGTGAGGCAGACTCACCAATGACCCACTGGATCCAGATAACATCATATCGCCCACTCTCAGGTACAAAGTCCTGCAAGCCACTGCAGAAGTAGTTACCCACTCTCTTGCCCTCGCCTCCCAGATAATTTCTGGCTTTGTCCAAGAACTCCTGTGTCACATCAACCAGGTCCACAGTCTTGAATAGTGGCAGTAGCAAGTGTTTGGTGATCCTCCCGATGCCTGCTCCACAATCCAGAGCACAACCTGTGCCTGTCTTCCCCTCCCCTTCCTTCAATGACAAAAACACACAAGAGATCACAGCTGAATGAATAAAATCTGTGACACCAGCTACTACTATCTGGGTGAGAAGGCTTTGAAACAGCAAACAAAAGTATTACTATTACTACAAATACCATCCAGAATTTTGTTGTTGCACACAATCAAAAAGTGTTCTTTAAACTAGGACTGGGCAACATGTCGAGAAATAAATATTGCAATAATTTTTCCAACACTGATTTATAGCATATGGCAACTGTATATCAACTGATCTGCATTATCTACACCCTCTTATCCATGATCGTTGGAGGCTGGAGCCCATCCCAGCATACATTAGATCAGAGGTGGCATTATCTACACCCTCTTATCCATGATCGTTGGAGGCTGGAGCCCATCCCAGGATACATTAGATCAGATGCCGCTGCCACTTTGCAAATGGATATAAAATAACGATACTGATGTTCACTCATCTTACATTGTAAACTGTATGTAATCCAAGGCATGTGCATACTTACTGAATATAAAAATTATTTTAAAGGTATTTTAAATAGCTGTAAGAGCAAAAGGTAAAGCAACTTCCAACTTCAGTGGCAGAGAACTTCACTCGCTATATTATAAGGCACATACGGCATTATTTTTTAAATATGTAGTCGAGGGCTCAAGGTACATGTGGGCAGGCTGCTTTTTAGTGTAGTTGTGCAATTCTTGTGCTGTCTGCATTTTAATGTATCTGATAATCCAGACCTCCACAGCTCACTGCACCACGGTTTTCACATCAGAAGTGGGACAGCTATCATTTTCCAACTCACAAGTATCAAGACTTGCTTTGATAATTAGGTCGCTAGATTCATGACTCCAGTCTAGTTGGAGTCCAAATCATGTGACCACAGCACTGCATTAAACCCTAACAATAATCACTAGGTCTTCAGACAGGTCAAAAACAGATCATATTTTATTTTTCTAGGTTAATAAACTGGGAAAGACTATAAAGGTGTCTCCTACATAAAGCAGTTATTGATTAAATTTAAGGATAAACACTGAACAAAAAGACACCACATGCTCATTTGATTATACATATAGTCCAGACCATAACAAAGCAGTTAAGTAAATGTGTTTTGCTGCCTGAGGAGAATGAAATCTTAAGAGTGTTTACACCGAGGAACTTGCGTAGGAAAGCCTTGGATCCATTGATATCAATGCTGGAAATGCTGCCGTAGCCTCCCAGCATGCCATCCACGGTGGGGGGAACCTCCTTCCAGTAGTCCTCAGCATTGGAGTAGAACCTCACCTCATCTTGTGCCACGTCACCCATTCTGTCATAGTAGACAAATAACATGTATCAGTCATGCCAAAATCTACACAAACTAACATTCACACTTAGAAGAGGACACTTCCAATGATTTTGGTATGAAATGTTTTTGAATGAGTTGATTAATGATAAGTAAAACACCCCCAAGTGGAAACTAATTAATATTCACACTGTAATAAAAGACCATTCATTCATATTCCTTCAGCTCTGTAGAGGTTGTGCGTACAAAGTAATGTAAATGTAATCTAACTCCACACTGCACCAACACACACACACACACTCACACTCACTCACTCCCTCACTCACTCCCTCACTCACTCCCTCCCTCCCTCCCTCCACTGACAGCCTAATCTGGCTGCATTTGGCAGGTCAGCTGTCAGCATCCATCTTATGACCAGGACAGAAGACATACATGTCCTGAGGCTCTGACCAACACCACAGAGGTCTCAGGCAAAATAAATAAGACTGAGGCCAGAAGCTACTACTTGTCTTTAAAATGCCTCTTTCAAAATCTTATATCCACATTATATTGGTGGGGAACACGGGAGTTGTTAACCAACTTGATAAGGCAGCTTTTATTAAACATTATTAGACTGGAAGACTTTTCACTACAACACTGCAGCCGGTTTAATCTTGTGTAATCATGAAATAAACTATTTTACATGCAGTTACTTTGCTATAGCTGCGTCATGAAAACTTTCTGTAGGACTACGATGTAACTCAAAGTTGAAGTAAACACTTCATTCTGCTGAACTTTTCAAATAAAATACATTTAGCTAACTTGCTTACCACATTTTTATTTTCAACACGAAACTCTACACATTCTTGTCGTTTCCCCCACTACACGTTGAGTTTTAAACAGATTACAGTTTGTAAATTTACTTCCCCAACATTGCTCCTTCAATCGTATGTGACACTAATAAGATCCCGCACGTGCTGAATTGGGCAGTGAAGTTTTAGCCAACAACTTAGTTAGCCACCGTGAACTCGGCTTCCAAATATATACTCTCATATTTCTTAACTTCATAAAAGTGATTCTTTACAACACTAACCTCGTGTAGTGTTGTGTCAGCGCCAGCGCCAGCACCCACACCCTCCTCTACGGCTCAAAAACCAGTACCGGCGTCTATGCTCCACTTTTCTATTTGAGACCATCGTTGCACACGAAGGACGTCATTTCCTTATTTGGTTCCTGGGGAAAGTGACAATAGCGCCCCTACTGGCCATGCCGGGGAGCTATGCATGGATGGATTAATGAGACCTGAATACCAGATTACAAAATGGAGCCCTTAATAATAATAATAATAATAATAATAATAATAATAATAATAAAGG